GCAGTTCTACTTTAATTAATTAATTCCTTGTAACAGAAGAAATCAATCAAAACTAAAGAAAGAAAGTTTACAGAAAGTTAAGTGCTAAAAAAAAAAAAAGACTACAGTAAACTTCTAATTTTGTATTCAAAAATTTCCCATTGAAAGTTATGAGGTTGCATTTTTTCTAGTCATATTCCTCTATTAGGGAAAATTGCCATTTCATCTGAAAATCTAAAGCTGAGAATGTTTCATGAAATAACAAAACATGATACAGTCTAATAAAACATGATCACAGGAATATAAACCAAATCACTTGGCTGATATCAATGGGAAAGCCTGGCTGGGGAAAAACATTTTCTTATGGTTCTGTACACATTCAGAATTGTGATCTTAACAGCATAACCCAAGTAAGAGCAACATATTGTATTAATTTCCTAAGCAATACTTTTGACAAAAAAAAATTTTGTTTAAATCTTTTTTGGCATATTTAATGAGCAAACATTACATTGCAATGTATCACACTCATCACAATTACTTTATACAAGGCTAATTGATTATAGTAAAATATATCTTTCATTTCATAACTTTTAACCCTTTACACCCTAACATCAGTATGTATATTCTCCTTACAGTTATCTAAACATTTCCTAAGATGCTGATGAGGAGAATTTGCTTAACAATCAAGAGCATCTACAGTTGGTGATTATCTCTTTTATCCTCATAACCTTAATATTTGATTCACAGGTAATATTCTTGGGGGAAATTTTATGCTGGTCACAATAATTGTGACCAGCATTTTTAACTCCAATTATTGGAGTTAAAAAGTTATATGTGTACCACTTGCTCATAGTTTTTTACCTGAATTAAGTTCTGTGACACTTTTTTGGGGGCAGTAATAAGTTGGTTAATTAAAGCCCCCTCAGATGGGCATTATTGTAGTTATTCAGCTGTAAGAAGTTTCCAGTTGTAAGAATAACCCGAAACTTGAGAAATCGACAATGTCAACATGTCAGTTAAAAGACCTATCATAAGTCTTAGTAATTCACAGATGTACAACAAGAGAGGAAATTCTGTCAACTAACTTAAAGTAAAGCCAAATATCAATTTAAATGATATACACGCACTGTGACAAGGATGCACTACAAAACTTTGATATAAGATGCACTCCAAGTTTTGGATCTATTTTCCATGGGAGAGGAAATTTTTTTCATAAAAACAGTGCACTACATAATCAAATAAACATCATACAATTATCTGTATAAGTGATCTCCACAAATGAGTAACAATTTAGAAGGTTATTTTGAAGTGAACATTAAAATTTTTTAAACACTCAAAGTATAAAACACATCCCAGAGCAGAACAATAAACAATCTTTATTCCACCACAAAATCAAATTGCAGCTCTCAGAGCATCAATTGTTGTAAGATTATCATCTCAACTGAAACAGTACAAAGACAAAAAGTTCCAAAAGTTGTAAGGGTGGTAAATCAAGTCTGATATTGGAGATCGAGGGCCAAAATTTAATGCTTTTAATGTGCAGATCTTTCAATGACCTTTTGGTTGTGAAAATTTCAGAAAATATGATTCAATATTAGGCATGTGATGGCATCTTGTGCCATATGGCACTCAGTAGCATAAAAGGATTAAAATGTTTCCTCAAGCCAGAAGGTGGAGCATTGAAGCATAAAATGCAAAGACCTGGGGTCTAATTCAAAGTATTTGGACACTGGCTTCAATAAAATGCAGGGCATGACATACATGGGTAACTAGTTACACCTTAGGTATTTTGGGTCAAATTTTAGCACACAGTTGTGAAGCTAAACTCCTATTGAACCAGATATCTGTGGCATGAAAATGCTTCCAGGATTTAAGTTTTTAATGACTGTCTACATCATAGAATCAAAAGTGTTTTGCTTTACCACCAAACCAATATCCTCTTAATATCTTGATGTAGAAATCATTTTTGGAAGCACACAATGTAAATTATTGGAAATATAAATGCATGTGTATTTATGTTTATGTTGCTGCCAGTCATACACATAAGTAGACACAGAACTTGAACAAACCAATCTTAAAAAGTTTAAATGCCAGGGATATTTGCCTGGGAGGGGAATGTTGAAGCTCTGAATTGATTACTGCATTAAAGAAAGCTAAACTTAATACATTACTGCTCAGAGAAATCTGTCCAATTCACTGTTCCCTGATACTTATTAAGTAATTAGTCTGTGAAATATTCACTACTGAAATTATCAAACTTTTCAAGATCTACCAAACCCTAACCTAATGACAGGGATATTGAGTTTTATGCACTTGGCCGTTTCGCAGTTCCTCTTTGATTAATTAATTCCTTGCAACAAAGTAAATCAATCAAAACTCATGGAAAGTTTAGAGCAAAAAAAAACTATACTTTTAATTTTTTATTTAAGAATGTCCAATTGAAATTGGTTTGCATGTTATCTACTCATTATCCTCTATAAGGGAAAATGGCCATTTCATCTGGAAATCTAAAGCAGGTGATATGTAATGAAAGATCAAAACATGATGAAATCTACTTAAAACACGATAACAGGAGTGTAAACCAAATCACTTAGCTGCATGATATCAATTGGAAAGCATGCCTGCGGAAAATTACTTCTGTAGGTGCTATAAAAGATTTGGATAGCTCACATCCACATTATAAACGACACGATACCTATTAATTTGGTGTATTATTTTCAATCGTACTCATTTAATAATGTATCATCAAAAAAGATGCTTACCTTCAGTTGATGATTTAAAATGGAAGTAGGTGATTCAAAATGTTGTGTAGCCAAACTATGATCCTGATTTCTCTGATATTACCCTCAGTGCAAAGCCTATAAGCCATAATGACAAAACACTTATGTTTTTCACAATTAATCACAAAAACTTTATCGAAAAATTGACTGTAATTCCATGATTCAAACCACGAACCACGTGTGTGGAAATCGAACGCGGAAACGTGCCCGATTCAGGTAAAAACCAGCCAAACTAATAAACATCTGGTTTTTTGTATTTCTGAAAATAGAGAGATCAGTCATAATTATATCCTTACTAACCTTGCTGGTGAGAAAAGGTCCAGTATTACCAAGAGAAACTATGGCAAACCTAGAACACGCCTCGTTGTAGGAAATGTGCTAAGGGAGGCAAAATGCAACTTCACTCAAGTCGACGAGTGGGGAGTACCAGAAGACTAAAAGTAGCGCGGGATCTGAAAAGCGAATATGGAGATATTGACTCTTGGAATTACAAAATAATATGCTGTCATGACAACATTTATTCTTGGTCTTAATCACTCACTGATTTCATAACAGATTCCTTTCATGAGTCATGCGATTCCTTCCGAGATGTATTTTCCATACGACGCAAAAATACTTCGCTGAAAGTCCCTTTCTTTTACTTTCCTTTCTTAAGCCGGTGAAGGTCGAAATAAAACGAAATCCTCCTAATCATAAACATTTTCTCAAAATTTTTGTTATTAAATAGATCAATTTTAACTCTGATAAAAATTTGACACAACTTTGCGACGCGATGATCGATAACTTAGAAATGATGTCCTCAAGTCGAGCCAGTCTCTTTCCTTTCCTCTCTGCACCTACCACAGATGACATCAAACGGCTCCATATACCGAATGATCTGCACAGTTGGTTAATGGTTAAGTCAAAACGAAATTTCCTTTCATGAATTTTTACTTAGCGACGAAGGAAATCGTAAGCGGAAGTGATTACAGATGTATTGCTTTCACGCCTAAAGCGTTTAAATAACAGGCTATTGAAGAGGAAAAAAATGAATGATAACGAGCTTATATTCCCACAAATGATGAAATAAGCGAAAAAAGTATTTCCAATCTAACCTTTTGGGAAAACAGATCGACAGCCTTCCAGCGATGCAGCCAGATATCGAGGAAACCAGCGCCCCAAAATCTAATCTGCTTCTCTTATCTCTAAATGAACTCTGGGATTTTGGGACTGACTATCATTGTCGGTAAATAAACAAGGATGAATTCCACCTGCAATCGTCACGCTGTTAAACGTGTTACGCGTGTGACGTCAGGCTTTCTGAACTAACCGAGATATTTGAAGAAAGCAATTAAGTGCTTACAGGAACATAATGGCTCCTGGTACTAACTTATCTGCGTTTACATAGGCTTTTCTATGCACTCGAACGATCGGGAGAATTCCTAAAAGTTTAGCAAGCTCCCGACTGTGTCTCAGGTTTGCATGACTTGCTTGAATTCTTCTAAATCCTCTATGTAAACAACTGGAAAGTCCTTTATCGATCAATTATCGGTATCAGATAAGCCAAATTTAATAGCGTGCTAGTTGGATTTTTAACGATCTTTCGGTTTAGAGAAAAGAATACTTGACTTCATTTTGACCTAATCTGTGACCTATTATGAAACAGATGCACAGCGAAATGAAATTACAGCGTACACAACAAAATTCTTTGACACTCGACTTTCACGCAACCAATTTCCGGGACGGTTGAACGTCATAAAATTGAAAGTAAACCCTGTCTCTTCGTTTATCTATCTAGAATCAAAGTGAACAGAAAAACATTGTGGGGGACCATATTTGTTGATCCAAACGAAAGATTGTTGGAATTGTTTTGATTAAGCAGTATAATCCTGCAAGAGGTCTTTGTGAAAGCCTGATCACTAGTTGAGAGCCGCGTGTGGTGACGTCAATTTTGATTCGCTGTTTAAACGAACGAGTGGCAAAGAGGTAGAGCCTGAAAACAAGCTACACTATCGTTTTACTATTTTACCGAAATAAACCTGCAAATAAGTATGCAACGGTTTTCAAGATTAAAAATGTTTGACGGGTTCTACTGGTTTCACTGCTCTTGCCAAAGGAAAGTCTCCATTTTCTGCGGCCTCTATAGCTCTTTGGGCGATGCAATTTCTAAGAACAAACCTGCGAAGAAAATATTTGCACAATGATATATAAAAAAAACTTGGAGATATGAACAGAAATAAAACTCGTCAATGTCAGAATTCGTTTTGCTTTAGCGAATAAATTCCAAACGATGTAAAGAACCGGTAGCTTTATGCTCAGGGCGATGAAATTCAGTGAGTCAGGGCTCGAGTGCTGGCCGTGTCAATGTGTTTTGGTCATAAGCTGGACATATAGTTCTCGTG